GGGCGAGGGGCTTGTATTACACCTTGATTCCTACCTCCTAGACAGGAGAGGGAAGATAAGTTATTTCCTGTTGTCCGTGTGGAGGTTATGAATGTGGACGGCACAGAGTGACAACGTGGTGCGTGACGTTTGGAGAGATTTCAGGCGGGATTGTACACTAAACAGAATCATGTTATGAGTACCTGGGTGGTTTGACAGCCCTATCAGTAAGTATACCTGTCAGCACTTTATATCTCAGGTGGTTTTTAGTTGAACTAATTCTACCAACTGTCAGTAAAACAATGACTTTTTATACAAGCAACTGTCAGCTTGTTATTAACAGATATGTTTAACAACAATATGACGAGTTTGTGTTGTTAATTCTTCTCCAGTGTAAATATGTCTTAACTATTTGCATACCAATTTCACAAGTAGATCAATAAGACTTTAAAAATTGCATATATATTTATATTTAGCGCTTTGAGCAAGATATTCATCCTAGAAAGGCACTATAAACGTGGACTATTATTATTATAATTATTATTATTATCATTGTCATATATTCAGTCATTCACAATGTGTCAAAGAATGAAAATTTATTAACACAATTTTTGGAAAAAATTATGGACAGAATTAGCATTTTGATAAATATTTCAGCCTGAACCACTCCCACATTATTGCATGTCTTGGAAGGAATCTATTTCTTAACACCTACTCGTAATGTATGTCAGCCAGTCCCCTTGACGGAGCTCACGTCCTATCCTTCCTTGAACGAGTCGAAAAAATGAACATTAACATTCTTAGTGTTCATATGACATCCCTGTAAATCAGTTGTAATACCTCACATGATGGTAACAATCCACAAGGTGCTTGTAGTATAGAGGGCTCTGTTTCGTGGAAGTATGAAGACGTTGTGTTTGATTGTTTGATTGTTGTTTGAGTTGCGATTAGAACATGACAGCTATGTCATCGAGGGTCGTTATTTGTCGTTGTTTCAACACTGAAAATATTTCAGCGGTTACATCACCTGGAAATCATAAATGAAATATGTCTTGTCATACTTTCAATCGCCTGTCATTGTTGATCATGTTAATGTGTTTTTTGATAATATGCCGAACAGGATATTTCTCAGTGTTAGATTTTTGGCAGTATGTCGCTTTGAAATCATTCGAATGTTTGGTTAAAGTTTGTTGAGAAACACACTGATGGTTGTAATCATTGTAATTCTGAATTTCAACCTTCATTTTCCTGTTTACAAAACCTAAGTACAAATTTGTGTAATATTTCTCTGACTTTCATTGACGTAAGAGATTTATAAATGTTATGCAGTGTTGCCACAAGATAAATTAATGTTTTTCTTGTACAAATACATTAACGGATGTGTGAATCAATTTTCAACTCCGACTTGTAAACCTGATCCTTTCAACATTGTAACCATGTGTATAATATACCACCCAAAAGAAATCAAGGCAAACATTCTCTCATGTTATTATAATTGATCAGTTACTGCATGCAGATAGCATGTCACTGAACTCGATTTGGGTTCATTTTGTCACAAATGTCACATTTTAATGTCGGACTTACAGGATATTTTGTAATTAGCTTTCTGCCTGTCAAAAAGTATGTATCTAAAGGGAAGGCATTTTTGACACTTTCATTTTAAATCAGTGGTGTGAATGTCAATTGGGGGTCTGATCTGCCTCCCACTTTGTTCAGCAAGGACCTAGTGAGAGCTATAGTTATTGTACCTCAGCCCACGTGTTCACCATGTTTTTTCTGCTTGACTGCTCGTTAGGTTGTTGTTGGTCTGTACTTACCTGGGGCTGTTGTATTCTTACCTGGGGTCAGATGTCAATTGTCATTAGAATTGTTGATGGAGTGATAATATGAGTTATTCGTATCAAGTCTATTGTAGTTTTGGAACAGTTGACTTAAGCTGATGTCCCACAGGTTGGGGAATAAAGCTTTGAGATATTTTACATTGATTTTAAATCGTCAGGGTTTAAAGCTCATTCCACCATGATATTAATGATGATTTAATTCTGTTGGTTAGTTTTACTAAATTTGACGAGTTGAATGAGCAATCATCGTTTCTGATCACTAAATGGAATGCATAAGCACAATAGAGTCTCTGAGTCTGTTTAAAATATAATGCATTTAACTCAAGGTAGAATGGACATACACCTATTCTTTTCTAAATTTTGTGATGGTTTATTGTTATTTAAACACCACTAAGTGTTACATTTAAAACCTCACACAAGTACTTTTGGCTTTCATTGATGTTTTGTGGCGTTTATTCAGTGATCCTCCAAATTTGAAATAGAACAGGTTTATCTCCATATTATGTGAGTTTTAAACCATTTGATCCCTGTTCTTTTATCTTCCTCTCAATGACATCAGGATTTTATCTTTTTGTTATCTATTGTTTTATTATTTTTTGTCAAATCTCTATACAAACCGTCTCTCGCAGGTGATAAAACTCTTTGTATCATTCACTCTTTATGATTGTTAGGTGTAAAACAATGTCAAATATTAGCACAGTACTTTCCACTTCATTGATTGAATAAGATCAATACAATTTGAAATATTCCTCCACTTTTAATGATTGCAATTGATACAAAATATCTACCCGCACCCAATAAAAACACATTCACTGAATCAAACACAATAGGTAGCAACCTCATCCAGTCTCATTGAGTGTTGAACTGAGGTAATTCCTGAATTTTGCTGAATTTTTATACAGACCAGAATCAAATAATACCTTTTTCCATAAATAATAATGCCCAATATATAGTCATCCCTCGCCATAACACGTGTCTCGGGTCGCTGAATTTCACTAGTTTACAACGTGATTATTCTGAGCTCAACATCAGATTGTTGATACGTTGTTTTTGATGATGTGAAGATGTGTGATTGCTGGGCAACCTTTTTATTGGAGACACGGATTACCCAGCAGTTTAACCGAATCCGTGGGATTGCGAATGGCGTTATTGCGAGGGATGACTGTATTTTATTATTTTATTGTAGACATTGTTAACGTGGCTTATTGCTGGGTGAAACGATGTATATCTTGGGACTGGAAGTATTTGACATCAGAGATGTTGCAATTGGTCACTCATGGGTAATAGCCCACCCTCAAATTTGTAAGAAATGAATCAGATTTACTCGTGGGCCTATACCTGTGACACTACGGTATGAGTTTAAATGTGAAATGTCAGTATGACCAGGCCAACTGGTCATGGTTGACTGGCCGACGTATGTAAATGTAGACGTGGCTTATAGCGAGATGTAGGCTAGCTCCAAAACGTCTCCTTGGACTCTGTTCCACACACTCTTATCCTCTTGACACAGATTTATAATGCTTTGATGTTACCTGATACACGCAGGGCCATTAATACAGTTGATGGCATGGTGCTTTTTGTTGCCAGGAAAGGTATACCCCTGCACTTTCACACACACAATAATGGGGCAAGACTAACGCTTAGTCTCTGAATATATATAATTTTGATTGTAACAAATAAACCCATTCAAATTGAAAAGGAGCCCAAGGGAGACCAGTGATTTAACCTAGGATCTAGACTTGTTTCATTTAGGGCTTTAGCATTGCAGAGAGAGCTAAGCTGTAGGGAAATTATGGTTTAGGAACTGTTAGACAGAATATCATGGGGCATGTATATTGTATGAATTTTCTTAAAGAAATCAAACCACTTTATAATTATATTTTTCGAGGAAAAGTTTTGAAATTAAAAGGTATTAATGTTTGATATAGTCTGTCTCACAGTCCCTGAACCACATTAATTTCCCTACTGCCAAGCCCTATCTGCAGTGCTAAAGCCCTAAATAAAGCAAGTCTAGATTTCCTCAGGTTCAGAATCTCTGGTCTCCCTAGGGCTCCTTTTCAATATAAATGGGCTTGTTTGTTACTATCAAAATTATATATATTCAGAGACTAAGCCTTAGTCTAATGTTTGATAGTACTCAAAAGAAGTTAAGCACAGCCTATTTTCATATGACTATAGTTAATCTGTCAAGCAATTGGGTCCGTTCCTAAACTTTTTTGAGTAGTATATTACTTTTTATTTCCAAATTGTTAAACTTGTTTGGAAGTTTGATGACTGCTAAAAATAATTAAGTAGAAGGGCTTTACTTGGATTGTGTAAAAGCTTGACAAAAAATGTTAGTGGGAAAAGAAATGTGGATGCAAAAAAACTTGTGTTTTGAGCAGACTATATTTTCAGCATGTTGGACCAGATATCTGAGGACTTTCATTGAATAATCATCATATAAGACATGTTACGTCATGTCACACCATGTCACGTCATTATTTAACACTTAACCCTTCTAAGATCAAATCGAGTATTCATTTGACTCAAATCAGAATCCAAAAATCCAGAAGAACCATAGCGAAAGCAAAAGAAAGCTTGCCAGAGATGTTATAGTAATTCTGTACTGGCAGCCATGAGAGTGTGCCTAATCTTTTCACACGCAAACAGATCTACAGTTATCACATACGAAGAGACACTCCTCATTTAGATCCCTCCCTGGCTCTGTGACAGGGGAGATTACATGTGGTTTAATGCGAAGAAAATCACAGTTTAACTTTCAAATGTTGCACTATGTTCTGCTCAAGCTTCTTAATGCAACAGTAAACTTGGTTCTAAAGAATGTTACTTTTTTTTCAGTTTCTCGTTTTTTATAACTGTTTTTTGTCACAGACCTATTCAAGAGAGGTCTAGAGGTTTTGGTCCAAGAATTCTTGAAATTCCTGTTGTTTGCCAGAAATGGGTCTTTAACCCCAAATTTTAAACAAAATTTTAAAACGAGGCTGTTTGACTTTGAACTTGTAGATTTCGGTAACAGATGCCGTGGAAAAAGATATGTCATGAGTTATTTTGGAATTGCAACCATTGATGGTTGTAGGGCAGGTGAAGAATTGCAATTTCATCTCTGTTTTGTAAAAGACAAAAGAACACAAAGTATAAGAAGTCAACATTATACTTCATTTTGTGTTCTTCTTCCAGATCAAGAGCATCCCGGAATACGACAAGTATTTAAATGATCTTCTCGATGAAACAGATTCAAGTCATACAGACTTTGATGACTTGAAGAAGGCCGTGGACAAGGTTAATAATGTAAGTAGCCTTTTTGTTTCCCAAATTACATCATCATTCCTGCTTTGAAGACTAAGTACCAACTGTTAATGTCACAAGACGTTAACACAGACCTGATTAGCATGAAGCTGCGAAAAAGCAAAACGGTTCATGGCGGAATGAGTTTCAAAGGTCAGTTTGGTAGACAATCGTCTGTTTGACTGAAGCGGAGCTTTGCCTCCTAACGACCAAGATTACACATTTGTGAGTACAAAAACAATTAGAGACCTTTGACTGTGACCTTGTCAAATGTTTTTTGTAAGTGTTAGCAGAAAGGTCAAGGTCAACCTGAAAGGATAAGCAGTGTTCCGAATGTCTGAAATGCAAAAGAAAAGAAAGAAAAATTCTTGACACCGTTAATGATGCTGAAGATTTCGTTGTTGCCAGAGGTTCGAAATACTTCTACGTCAAGTGTAGATACAGGCAAGACGTCACCTCAGTTGCGGACTTGCGAGATTTTCAAAGATTTATGTATACTTCAGACACAACTTGATTTGTAACTATATTGATTATATTTTCTTGAAAAATAATAATTAAAATACAATACCATATTTTCCCTATATTTAATGTGGGGGGCTGTCGCAGCTTAGTGGTTAAATTGTTCCCTCGCCACATCGGTTCCCCACATTAGTCCTGTCAAAAACACCTCCCCCTTCAAAATAATAATATAAACAAAATATTGCTGGTATTTTGCTAAAAGTGGCGTAAAACCATACTCACTGACTCACTTTATTTAATTAAAATGGTATTTACTTTATTGGATTTTACTGCTAGATTTAGTTGCATTTTAAAAGTTAAATTTTAAATGTCTAAGGTCAAAACATTTGATGTATAATCTTACATAGCAGTGATAAGCAATGACAAGACATGTAAATATGTTCTAATACAATGCTTTTAAATTGCTGATGAGAAACATAGTGTTTGTTAAGACAAACTTCAGCAACTTCATCATGAAAACCTCGGCCCAGTTGCTCTGTTTCTTCTTCAGAACATCCTGAAGCTAACCATCATAGCCAGTTTTTGAAGAAATATAAATATGTCTCATCAAAACATTTTATTTCTGAAATATTAGACATTCAGTAGAAGATGCCTTTCATTTGAAATAGTTGATATTGTTTTTTCAGTTTAGTCATGTTCCAACTTTTGAAGAAACATAAATATGTCATGTCAAAGTATGTCATTTCCGAAGTTTGAGGCTCTCAAAAATGGATGCCTTCCATTTTATATAATTGATATTTTTTGTCTGTTATCGATCATAAATCGTGTTTTTTAACTCACACTGTTTTGCGCAAACATGTGCAAATGTAGTTATTGAAGGATTAAGGTAGCTGTCATTCTTCACACCGTTACTTTGTCTATTTTGAGCATCATTGCTATCGACTGACCAGAGAGTGGATGAGCCTTGAGTCTTTGTATAGATAACATTTGTTCTTACATTTGCCGAGTTCCAAGACGGCTTGATGTGTCTTACGCTTAACTGGTGGCGTTGGCGCGAACGAATCAACACATTTACATGCAACATTCCAAAGGTGCAACCGAGGGTCACAGAGTGCCAAGATTCTACAGACATGTCTCTTGAGTTGGTCCCACCTGTGGGTGATGGACGAGGGCTAGTGTGGGTCGAGGCCAAATAGTGGAGGCCCCATCTCCCCAGACAGAATAGAACTTGAACTTTATAAACTTTAATAGCGCAACGAGGTGTGAAGAGTAGCAAAGATTGAGACAAACACGGTGCTTGCATGCGGCACAGTTGATTCTTTCATTTGTGAGTTTGTCATTACACACGTCGTCATGCGGTCTGCCTATAGATTAACATTTCTCCAAACTGGACAGCGTCAACCATTATTCTCCAGTTTCTTGGAATTCAAGAAAAAAAGAAATGTCAACTATGCACTTTTGAAAATGTATGGTGGGTTCTCAACAGAATTATACAACTAGACGTCTTTATTAATCTGGAAACAAATGAAAACTGTTTCGAGTAATTTTTCAAATTCCTGGAGTATAAAACATAAAAGGTCTGCGTGCATCATTCCAAAATTCTTTTGCTTTTATAATAAAATAGAATGTCAACCATGCACTTTTGAAAATGAACGTTGGATTCTCAACAGGTTTATGCTAGACATCTTTATTAATCTGAAAACAAACAAAAATGTTTTCAAAGAATTTTCAAAATTCCTGGAGCATAAAAAAGAAAGACTGCATGGACCACCGAGACAATTTTTTCACTTTCGTAATAAACTAAAATTAGAAATGTAAAATGTTTTAAAAGATGTGCGTATAATATCAATAATATTAATTAATAAAATATCACCAAATACTTTATCAAGAAAAGTAAGCAATGATGCTTACGGTACATTTACATTCTATGATGCTGCAAGTGTACAAGGGTTACATGATATACCTTTAGGTAAGATTATGGCATATGACTTTAAAGATTTGTTAGGAACATGTTACTTGCTGACATTGATATATTGCCCAAGCAGATGTCAACTAGCCTCAGGACATTCTTACAGATACTACCTCTCACACAACTTGTTATTAGGCAGTCTTACCACCATCTGTTGTCAACTCTCCACATTACCTACATGACTTACATATATTGGGAAATATTAAATAGTTGTGACATATATCACTGGCTTGGTCTGATATATGGTTTCTAGGCTGTAAGTTTGGCATATAGAGATAGTACAGATAATGACCTTGTGAAATATGGATTATATATAATGCTAATTATCATCCAAAATCAAAGAAATTAGAAAAAGCATGTTGAAAAATTAAGATGTGATCCATGAAACCCCTGTGACATTCCTGATGTACAAGGAATATGTGTCTGATAAGAGCATCCCCTTGATCATGCAGTTGATCATACCAGAGAGGAATTTGTCTCTAATATCTGCTGAAAGAGTGGTTATTTCTGCAATTATTGAAGGCTCTTTAAAACATCATTAGTGACAATGATAAAAGTAAATCTTGTTTGCAAAAACAGTCCAGTGTTATTTGGGTTCTGGCAGTCAGATTTCTTTATTTTTCTGTTGTAAACCACTGCAAGACTATCAAAGAGTTTGAAAATAGAGCCAAGAAGTAATTTTACGTCCTTTTCATGCTCATCTTGACCAGATTTGTGACAGGCTGAATCATTACACATGTGGAGAGATCTACCAAGTAGGTTGTAAAATGTGGCTAAGAAGTGACCTGTTTGACTAAGGTTTACTCTTGACATAGTTCAGGCTGTTGGAGACTAAATAATCCTCCAGCTTGTAAACATATGCACCATCCCAAGACACAATTGACATGTTTCTTGATTATTTTGGTCTATCCTTATTCAATTTCCAGGGTGTACGACAGGGTAACTCTTTCCCCCCCTACAGTTTTATTGCTAAATATACATCATTGTGATTGAATTATGTGTATACAGCTATGCTGTCGTATACTCATGTCATATACACCCATTACATGAGTGACCCCATCCCACCCCACCCCACATCTCTGACCCTGATTTATGCAAGATATGACAGTGCAAATTCCCTACCAGGTCAAGCAGAATCATTGGTTAAATTGTTGGATTAAACCGTCTTTCTTTTTATCACATGCCTCATGAATTTTAATGTAGAGATGGCCAAATGTGAAAGAAGGTGGAGTGTGTATTGTATGTGTGTAACCGATATATGAATATTCACAAAAGAACTTTGTAGAACACAAGTGAGACATTGAAAGCAACGCGTGCAAGAATTTACTCAGAATATCTGTCATCTTTGGTCTATTTGCGAACACAGATTTATATCCTGCACTTCAAATGATGAATATGACATGATATCAGTATAGTTGTAAAGGCATTTGAGAATATGAAAGGGCTGAATAAGAAAGGTTTGTAAGACATGCTCTGTAACGGTATAGTCAAATACAACGTGAATAGAATTTGAAGTAGTTTGGGTCATCGAGGTTGTATTCTCTGCTTGTAGTACCACTTGGGTTCAGTTAAACACAGTGGTGCTTACAGAAGTCGATTCTCAAAGATTTTGGTTACCAATAGAAAACCCCTCATGTGCCACAGATTTATTTCTTCGTCACTCTAAAGTGATAATACACTGCATTGTAATATCATATAATGTACTCATCAATGATATGAAAAGGCATACACTTGAGAGTAGATATTAACTACATGTTGTTTTTATTGCCATGTTCCTATAGCTTCACACAGTACACCTGTACTGATGTACTTCCCTGCCAAAATCAGGGCATTAGGGGTTAGGCAAGGATGTTATTTAGGTCTTCACTTATTATGAGGATTTGAATTAATTCTTAACAACCTGATATTCAGTTACATATTTTGAAATGTTTAGAGCTGAGGTCTCTAATAAGTTGCTGGCATTTTTATTCAGGGATCAAGTGGTGTGTGTCACCACTGTTGACAGAATTTCATCACACCTGTGAAGATCTGGATTAGTGGTCTTCAGCCAGTCATGCCTGTTGTAATAGGTGACTAACGGGATTGATAGCCTCTATCATAGCACCTTGTCTCCCTCCTGACCCCCATCTTTCTGATCCCCCCTCGTGGCACCTTGTACCGTTCTTCACCCCCACCCTCTAGGTACTCCATCAAGCCACCTTGTACCGTTCTTCATCCCCACCCTCTAGGTACTCCATCAAGGCATCTTGTATCATTCCCTAACCCCCACCCTCTAGGTACTCCATCAAGGCACCTTGTATCATTCCCTAACCCCCACCCTCTAGGTACTCCATCAAGGCACCTTATACTGTTCTTCACCCCAACCCTCTAGGTACTCCATCAAGGCACCTTGTACCGTTCTTCACCCCCACCCTCTAGGTACTCCATCAAGGCAACTTGTATCATTCTTCACCCCCACCCTCTAGGTACTCCATCAAGGCACCTTGTACCGTTCTTCACCCCCACCCTCTAGGTACTCCATCAAGGCACCTTGTACCGTTCTTCACCCCCACCCTCTAGGTACTCCATCAAGGCACCTTGTATCATTCCCTAACCCCCACCCTCTAGGTACTCCATCAAGGCACCTTGTACCATTCTTCACCCCAACCCTCTAGGTACTCCATCAAGGCACCTTGTATCATTCCCTAACCCCCACCCTCTAGGTACTCCATCAAGGCACCTTGTATCATTCCCTAACCCCCACCCTCAAGGCACCTTCCATCTTCAGGCACCTCTAGGTACTCATCAATATCATTCCCTAACCCCCACCCTCTAGGTACTCCATCAAGGCACCTTGTATCATTCCCTAACCCCCACCCTCTAGGTACTCCATCAAGGCACCTTGTATCATTCCCTAACTCTATACTGTCGTGACAACTTTAATCTCTGCTCACACTATCACTCACTGGTTGCTCATTCTGAAATATGTGAAAAAGCTGAAGATGCTGACTCATTAAGTATTATCTAAATCTGGAGGGGCAAAGGTCTCCAAATGAATGCACTGCTCCAGGTGGGTACACGCTTGTCATCCGTATTAAGTTCCATCAACGTAGGTAATACCATATACCTGCACAGATACAGGTGTAAGGCTGCTACAGTCCGTGCCCCACATCCCTACACAGGTGGCAACAACACATCTCCAGCATTGGACTGAATATAAGGAAACCTCTTACTGTTACACAAAACACCTTAGTCATTTGCACCTGTAACCCATCAAATCGGTAGCTTCCCTTTGTTTTTACCGCAGAATGAGTATCCTGGGTAACTGGAACCTACTTCCCTTTTTTTCTAAAAACCTACCTCAGCAATATTCCAGCCATATGGCCTGGTCTGTAAATATGGTCTGGACCAGACAATCCCGTGATCAATAGCATGAGCATGGAACTACACACGTACAACTGGTATACGATGACACCTGTCAACCAAGTTAGCGAGCCTGACCCCCCAATCCCGTTGGTCACCTTTTACGACAAGCCTGGGTTACTGAAGACCAATTCTAGCCGGACCTTCAAGGGTCTACTAAGGTTACAAATGAAGGGTCGGGAGGGTAGAGATAGGGTGGCTCAAGATGGATGCAAGGTGCCAGACAGAGCGGGCCAGGGTATGTGTGTTATGGTCAAGGAAAGGGAACATGATAATATGGTAATATACATTCTCAGGTAGAGCAAGGTCATGGAAAATCCCACCATGCCCGGCGGCTTGGTTCATAAACAAGTTGGGATGGGCAATGTGCACGTGTCTCTGACATAATCACCTCTCTGGAGGAATGTATGTTTGTGGGGAAATTGCTCAACTGTGAAGGTATTATTCATTCAATTAGTGTCCCGGTGTGTTTGGTGTAATCAAGGTCAGGAGAGGTGATTGGATTACGTAACTACAAAACATGATCAGAATGTTTGCCATGAGAACAAACTCATTAATGTCAAAGATGTTGCAAATCATTTCCCATTTCTGCAATTCTAAATATGATTTCAGATTATCACTTAATCTGTCATGTTTAAAATATTTTTGTTGAAAAACATTTTTATGTAATTGCCCCAAAATGAATTCCTGGAATTTCGGAATATGATTATTTTTAATTTCATATAAAAAAAATTAAAATATATCTGTAAGCCAAAAGAATTTATCTCCATACCTGAATATAAAGAAAATGCTTATTTTAAAACAAAGTTTACGAGCGATAAAATGTACATTTGTATAATATAGTTGAAGTTTCAAGTTCAAGTTGACAAAAACTTCCTGAATAGGTCTAACATATGAATATCAGGTAGATGCTTGCTTTAGGACAAAGTTTACGAGCTGATAAAATATAGATCTGTACAACGTAGTTGAAGTTTCAAGTTCAAGTTGACAAAAACTTCCTGAATAGGTCCAGCCTAAAGTTATTTTGTTTTGTGAGTGTCTGCCAGTGTAATGGCCTTCAGCACTTCAGGTGTGACTCCGACATCTCATGTCAGCGAGCAGATCCGCTCTCTCGTCCAATGACGATTCTATTACCCTAGATCGTAGATTGCTACAAGGTTCTGTCAGTCATTGGCGTAACCACACCTACGTCGTGAGATACTTGACTGTTGTGTTTGTGACATTCCTGCGAGGCATCGCGCCGCTGCGGCCATGCTCATACCTCTCTCATCCGTGCTCCTTACACAAGATGAGAAATGTGTAAGTTTTTCAGTTAGATTTCCTATTTTTCAAACTGTTTACAGATTTCCAAATTGTATTTTTAGAAGTTTCAATATTGATTTGAAAAATGAAAGAAAAAGGTGGTGAAAATAATTAATATACTCATGGAAACGAATGGGGGAACACATGAAAGTACAAGTGTTCCTTTATTTATTTCCAGAAATTTCACACACAGTTGAATACATACCTTGTGAAAAAACCTGGAAAAGAATAAAGGAACACTTGTCTCATGTGTTCCCTTATATGTTTCCATGAGTATGTAAGAACAATTTCTGTCTATAAACTTCCGACATGATATTTTTCAGTAAATTGGAATATAAAACAGTGACTATTTTGTGTAATATTTTACAAATTTTTATTTTGTATGGGCTTGAGTGTGTCTAATCCTGCATGTGATATGATTTGTGTTTTTGTCACTTGTGGATCTTGTTGAAAGTTGTTTACTTCTGTCAAGGTTAAAAGGGGATTTAATGTAAATATGGTTGGGTAAATGTGCAATGGGCCATCAGGAGCTTAATGTTGCTAGATCCTGGTGTTGTGATGGGTGAGGTGGAGCCTGTACGGTGTGGTAGGGGTTGTCTAATAATCACAAAAACAAGGATCAGGGTCTGAGGAACCATTTATATGCAGCTGGAGTAGGATGTGCCATATTGTGTTTTGTTCTGAGCTACTGGATGGTCCGATTCCTGGAAGGTCTGTCACTTGATTGTCTGGTTTATCATCATATGCAAGGGTGGTCGGGTGGCCAAGTAGTTAAAGCATTCCCTCGGCACACAGAAGACCTGTTTTGATTCCCAAAATGGGTACAATGTGTGAAGCCCATTTCTGGTGTCTCCTACTGTGATATTGCTGGAATATTGCTAAAAGCGGTGTAAAACCATACTCACTCACTCACTCACTTTGTTTGGAGATGTTCTACTTGTTAATATTTTGAGAACCATGGGTTATTGCTGTTGTCCAGCAACAGACGTAGCAGACGTACCTGTCTTGTGCCTCATGTTTACTTTGAATTGTAGATTGCTTGATTGCAAATTATGATTGCAAATTATCAAGAGTATGTGTTACTGGAGCAGTAGGACATGCTTACCCTTTTTCACAGAAACTTTGTATTATCACTGTTTTATAGTGATAATATTTTTGTAATTTTCACCGTTGTGGTTTTTATGTCCAGTGGAATCGGTTCCATCATATGATTGAGATTGGTTATTCCTTGGTGTTGGTATTTTGTAGTATTATTCATATGCACCTGGTGTTCAGTGATCTTTTCATATAAGTATTGCATATTTTGACTTTTACACTTTTGACGGAAAATTGAGACTGGTTAATCTCTGGCATTGACGTTGTATGTTACAATTCATATATTTGATGTTGCCACTTGATTGTTGAAATTTGCAGGACTTTTGACAGCGGCAAGCTTTGTATCAATGTGCAGTGACACTTTCATGGCTGTGCATAAGTTTATTATTAAATATGGCATTTATGATACGTTTATGTATATGATTATGTATTTGCATCAACAGATGGTGAGAGAGCGTGAGGATGAATTACGGGAGGCAGACAATGACAACAAGGTTGAGGCCGTACAGGATCGCTTCCCTCACGATGACCTTCAACTTCGAGATCGCGACAAGACGCAGGTCAGTGCATCTTCAGATAAAAATTACCGGTAATGAAAAATATTTCCATTGCTGCAACAAACATTCTCTATCTTCATCATCAAACAGTTTCAATGATGATGTATGGTGAAATATTGCTGAAAATATGACTGACATTACATTTCAGCTCAAACCTAGTCTGTCTCCCAGTCCCTGCACCATGCCATTTTCTCTTCCTCAGCCATTTCTGTAATGTAAAAGCCTGTAATTATGCGTATCTAGATTTTCACCTTGTTCAGGGTCTCAATCTTCCATCTCGTTTGGCCTCCTTTTCATTTTAAATGGAGTTATTTGTTTTTATCACAATTCCATATTATCAGAGACTTAGTGTTAGTCTAAATGTATGCTGGTTTCTTCAATCCTAAGGCATCAGATATAAGAAATCCTTATAGGGTCTTTGTTTGGAGAGGGTAGCCTAGTGGTCAATGTGTTCTCTCGTCACGCCAAAGACCCGGGTTCGATTCCCCACACAATGTGTGAAGCCCATTTCTGGTGTCCCCTGCCATGATATTGCTGGAATATTGCTAAACGTGGCGTAAAACCAAACTCACTCACTTTGTTTGGAGATGTTCCACTTGTTAATATTTTGAGAACCATGGGTTATTGCTGTTGTCCAGTAACAGACGTAGCAGACGTACCTGTCTTGTGGCTCATGTTTACTTTGAATTGTAGACAAATGATTGCTTGTAACTGTTTCTAACCTGCTGGATAGTGGCGCCTGATCTTTATCCAGCTGTTCCACCCATCATATAATTGTCACTACTGTTGTTCCTTTAATACCCAGTGGAATCTGTTTTGGCAGATGAAGTATACAATCTGATGATGTCTCCGTGTTATCAGATATCTGCTTTCTGCCATAGCTATGTCCATTGATGAAGTATTTGGTTAATCTTGCTGTTTAAATGATATAATGACATATTTGCATGAGATGGCATCATTTATGTTCAATGAGAATATGACCGTCGCCATATAGATGGAATTTCACTGAAGGCGGCATTTAACAACCAAAAAACCAATCACTGACAATGTATATTTTTTGCATTTGTGGACATATAAGCATAAAAATCGGCATGCACATTCATATCCGTGATTTCCAAAGGTGTGCACATAATATTTTATGGGTTTGTAGTTATTGGGGGGGCGGTGGGGTAGCCTAGTGGTTAAAGCGTTGGCTCGTCACGCCGAAGACCCGGGTTCGATTCCCGACATGGGCACAATGTGTTAAGCCCATTTCTGGTGTCCCCCGCCATGATATTGCTGGAATATTGCTAAAAGCGGCGTAAAACCAAACTCAGTCAGTCAGTCAGTTATTGGGTCTTCTCAGAATCAGCTTCCGTATTATGTGGTTTATAGAGGTTTAAACATAAAAAGTCATGTTACAGTAAGTGGATTTACACAAAGTGTGTGCACAGGCTTTTACATTAATACCTCTTTAAACGTACAAAATATTGAAGTCAATTATCAATTAAACTCAGTAACTTATCCACTTGCTCCAAGCCATAAGGGATCTTGGTTTCCAGGCAGTGAGTATCATACAATGCGTACGTCAATATATCAATCATACAGGCTGGGGATGGCATGATATGTCCGAGGAGGATTAGCAACTCTGACGTGGGTGGACAAGGTGTTGACATATCAGTATCAGTGTCCCCCAGATTTACTTCATCAGTGATGTCCTAAACTTGTCAAAACTCTCATTCTAGCTCTGTGAGTTCCATTGTTTTGATGATTTTGGGGATAGGTGGGGAGTGTCACATCATCATTGAGATCATTGTAGATTTTGAAAAATAATGTCGAAAAATGTTTGTTTTCAAAGTTTATTCAAAATGTCTGTATTTCTAATTTCATCTTCCTTGATTCAGCAGGATGGTTGGTGGCTTAGTGGTTAAAGCGTTCACTCATTACGCTGAAGACCCAGGTTCGATTGCCCAAATGGGTACAATGTGTGAAGCCCATTTGTGGTGTCCCCGCCGTGATATTGCTGGAATATTGCTCAAAGTTGTGTATAACTAAATTCACTCCTTCATTTAGCAAAAGTACATCTTTAGTTCCTCCTAAAACCCCAGACTATGTATGTAATAAAGCAATCATCCAAAAAACCACCTCTTCCCCTTCTCAAGTCAAGCATCCAATATTCATCCCTTTCCCAGCTCCTAAAAAACTGTGTTTTGGATTCCTTGACTCTCAACTGTTTCATTATCAAATATTATTTTTTCACCTTACACATTCCTGATATCTTGTTGACTTGAACACCATCGATGTCATGGAAACTGATACAGGATATCACATGATATCACAAGTTCTAAAATGTGTTACACATTCCTGGACAGTAAATATCTAAAGAAGCTTGTAGTCTTTGTTGCAACATCAGTCATGTGAATCCAAAAAGCCTGTAATCTATAATTCTGGACCTGAATTAGTCTAATCAGCTAGGTATATCATAGCATGGACTGTTTCCATTCAACAAAGAATTTGTTGAAATAATTTCCACATTAGTGTACTGTTCTGAATAGACAACAAATCCCTGTACTCTGTTGGTGAAAGTCACCTACGAAATAACCCTGCAGTGCTGGTGTTTAATGAAGCATATTAACTAGCTCAATATTATATACTCAGAGTGGATATTACAGTCTGTGTAAATATGATTGGCTGATGATTGGCCTCGAGGGATCTGACTGGCTGAGAGTGTGTGTATATTGCAATGGTGAATGCACATGGCTTATGGTATTGGAATATCGACTATTGTAATCTGAGGGATAATCTTCACCACATGAGACTGATTAGTTTTTGAGCAAGTCAGTAAGCACAATACAGGTGTTTTGAATTGACTTCTAGACCATTGTGGCAAGGTTGGTGGATACGGAGGACTGTGATCTATACTGGCTGTATGTTGACAGTGTAATGGTTCTGTTTCGTTTGGAATTGATGTATACGTACAACTGATATTTCTGATCAGGTTGGTATACATCTGAGTTCAAGCAATTAATGTTAGAAATATGTGGTTATTGTTTGTGTGCTTGAATTCTGCTCATCTGTACGATATGGTATGGACTGATGAAGGTTGGTGTCAGCTGTTTTGTTCTTGTCATAGTTATTGGCTTATCGTTTTGGATGCAACCCTAAATATAATTTCATGACTAGGATATAGTGGTTTTCAAATGTTAGTTCTGTGTAGGCCATCCAGTATTTGGTGGTTGTTATTTTGGACACTACCCCATGTTTGTTCTTATGTAAACAATCCATACAACTTTATGGATGACACCTCTTTGTTTATTGCATAGAGCGATGTTTCGGTGTAGATTTCTACGAGATTTTTGAATGGCATGTAGAAGTGATACACATAAGGAAGAGAGTTTTATGGATGTCAACTTCTTTGTTTTGAGGAACATCACATTTCACCTGATGAAGGTGTAAGGATATATGTTGTGCTCCTCATAATAAAGACGTTGACATCCATATAATCTCTCTTCCTTAGATTCTTATGCTTGATAACAGTGTAAGAATCTATAGATACTGAAGTGCCACTGTATGTAATAAACAAGAAGTTGTAAACAACACATGTGTTGTATTCAGATGTAACTTGTATATTGGTTTGTGTATCAGTGGATGGCCAGTTGTTGTAGACACAACCCCAGGAATGATGATAGTAATAATAATAATAATGATTACTACTAAAGAAGTTAAAGACAACCTGACTAATTCAATTCATTAAGTGATATGAAAGCAGCATGTTTTATAACTTCTTGTGACTGGTGTACAAATAATGTTGATACACTAGAACATGTTGTAGCACTATATTACCACAATCAGTGCATTAGTTGATGCTTGAATGTCATTCTCAACTCCCTGGGGAGTATACAGTATGTGAACTCTGGATATCTGTAAACAGGATTATCTGCAGAATTACATAATGGCTTACCCAAGAGACCTTGGGCCTCTAAAAAGTCGTATTTTGTGAATGGAATGTTTACTGCATATGGGAAGCGATATGAAGGAGCCTGGATTTTAATTTATTCATACCCAAGGGTTTATTGTGTAGATGCAATATTTTTGCCAATATTTCATAAAGGTAATGGCACAGAAAATCAAATTGTCAAGGTTCTGTCTTCATACCGCCCCGAGGCTTACATGAAGAGGACTACATATTATCAAAGGATTCCTTTGACGAGCTTTTCTCAAAAATTCAATTTTGAAATTTTAGAGTTTTAACATAAAACATTTTTGATGGAATTTATGCAAGTTTCTAGTCTTCACATAAATAAAAAGTAGTTCTGGGCTTAGACTGTGTTGTGTGAAGTCGCTGCAGGCTGCATTGATGTTTGTGAGTGGATTCCCATAAGCTGACAGAATAATGTGGGAAGATTAGAGCTCAAATGACTACTTCCTTGAAGAATTTGAGATTTTGGTCGGGGAAGAAGAAAATCAATTACATTGATTGTTTCCTCAAAGGACAAGTGTAACATTATCATCATGTATTGTCAGTCATGTGTATACTTAGATTTCAAGAAAATGTTCTGTATGTACTCTTCTTTGAGGTATAAAATAACTATTAGTAAAATGGAAAACATCTTTCATTGTGAATCTTAAATGTGTGTAAGTGTCAGAGAAGAATTCTATTTGACATTTGAAATTGACCTGTCGATACAGGACGTTGTTTTTGTTCTTTTTTTGCCGTAAGATAAGCTATGTGGGAAAATCTGTAAAGGGAAACCATGTTTATTCTACCTGGCACTGTCACAGAAGTGTGTTGTCTGGAGTTCTTGCTGCTAACAATTATTACATCACAGCAGAATTCAGAATCATAAATTAATGGTGTCCTGTACCACATATAGTATTTGCTGTTTTAAACGCCCTCCTTTTATATGTTGACCCTGACCAAGTTCTGGGCCCCGTTCCTCAAAGCGATCATAGCGCTACGACAGTCGTAAGTCTATGTTAAAGTATGGAAGTTACGATCACCTTAGCGCTACGATCGCTTTGAG